CACAAGCAACAGCAGGGAAGGCAGGGCTGCCACTCCTCTTGCATGAAAGCCCTTTAGACCAAAGGGTAAAGCAACAAAACAAGTTAAACTTCCAGCAAAACATTACACAATAAAAAACTCAACCACTGATGTAAAACAGACCCTCTATTTCTGTGCACAGGTTAGTCATGGACACAGATCTCATGCCTGGGTGAAAATTTGACATTGGTTTTACATTGCTGACCTTCCCACTAAGAGCATTGGAGTTGTATGGATAAAAAGCACTACAGGGACAAATTGTAACTTCAATAGCATTATAATCACAGCAGTAAGTCACAACTGATTCACACCAACGTGACTGTGAAATCCATTCCTTTAAGTTCCACAGTAAAACAGAAGAGGAAGTTATTGCATGTGAAACAGAAGGAATAATGAAACAGAAAGAATATAAAGTTGGGATGATTCAACAGCATTTTTGAATTATAATCACCCATGAAAAAAGTCAGCAAGCAGATGCAGATCCTCCAAAAAGGAGAACAAAAATCTATGTAGGATAGAAATACCTTGATTCCTAAATGGTGCTTTTTCCCTTTAATTTGGTTTCTCCTTTCAGGTGAATTTTGAAAACCCTCTTAATCTCCTGCTGGATTCCTCTACCAACAAAGTCACTGAAGAGGAATTCATGAAGGATATACAAAAAACTAACTGGAACATTTACAGAAATCTGGAAACTAGACTCTGTAAAACAGCATTACTTCTACATATAAGCCCTTTGTCCACATCCCATGGTTAAAAAGTTTGATGGAAGAAATCAGAACCATTAGAGTGAAAAAATGTTTATCTGTAGTTACGCCCTTAGGCCAAGCTGCAGCAAAGATTGCCTGAAATTCTTCCTGAAAAGCTGACCACTTAACCCACTTTCTGAAAAGACTGAAAACAAACACGCAAAAAGACAACAAGCAAAAAAGATTTGAATGGCCTGGTTATGAGAAATTTTCTAAGCTGAGAATATTTAATGTGAATTTGTAGACACTGGCAAGTGGGACTGGAAATGAAGGCAGAGCAAATCAGATTTCTCAGAGAAAAGCCAATTCTCAGATCCCTAAAACTGACAAGACCGCTTACTTCATTCTCACTCAGAACAGGTGTTGCTCCTTTCTGCATTTGTATTTTTTGCTTCACTGTTTGATTTTGAATATTAGCTCCACTGCCAGCCTTCTTCATTCATAATTCATCCTTACTGACAAGATTGAAGCAAAACCTTTTAAAAGGAGCTAGAGACTTCCTGGTGTTTAGGATATTCAGCTGAGATAAAGTCAGGTTTGAGAAGCAGATCCTACAGTTATTCCATTATTTGCAAAGGAAGATCATTCCACCAGGAGCGATTTCATGGCCAGCACAGATGTTTGTCATGATCCACCTAAGGCAGCCCCGGGCACGGTTTGGTTACTCCTGCAAACCCAAGTGCTCCCATGTGTAAATTTCATTGCTTCTCACAGATTTAAAAAGTCCAGCTTGGGGCTCAAAAAAGGCAACTTCTGACCATTGGCTACATCAACAGCACTCATTTACCCTCACAGGAATACATTTCATCCCGAGATTGCAATTCTCACTTGCTTTGCTTACATTTAATAATTGTTACCAGTGCAACTGTATTAGCAAACAACACCTCTGCAAGGTCCTAAAATAAGCAAATCCTTGAACACAATTTTTCCCCACAAGCTTTTTTAAGAAAGGCACTTAGCTCCATCTGCTGGATTTAGACAATTTCCCTCTGAGGCTGAAGACCACACAACACAAATGGATTTCTTTTCCATTTGTTATACATCTTGTATGCCTAAAACAGAAATCCAAACTGCTGCTAAGTAAATACCTCCCCAAGTGCTATAAAGGCATCACTTTTACCTGAAGGTCCATTAATACATTTCACTAATGCCCTTAGGAGCAGCAACACCCACCCTTGGCACACCTGTCTCCAGCTTAAAAGTAATTCCTTATATTTTGCCCTGTTTGCTATGCTAATTATAAACACAAAGACCAGGGGTCACTGAAGCTAGGATGTCCAACCAGATTTAATTAACTATTTCAAACATCTAAGCAAAAATCTCTAGAGGGAAAAAAAAGCCTGACTAATAAATATAAACATGATCTTTCAATCTGAACCTGTAATACCATTAAAACCCACCCCCCAATAATACTGGTGTATCATGAGAAATTTTATAAATAGGTGTTTTGCAGTTGATGGGAAGCAAATTCTCTTGGTGAAGGAATATCCTTATTTAAAGAAAACATCTTACAATGATTTTAGAGGTTCCTAAATATATATTCATCATTGTTTCTTCCCTTGGAATGCATTGTTTTAGTTCATCAAATACTTCTAATGAATAGCCAGAATGGGATAGAGATATGTAAAATTTCATTAAAATATATTTTTAAAAAGCTATTTACAGTTATAAAATTTTAAATCAGAAAAAAATGGGGGGAAAAAAAAGCATAAAAATACTTTTATCATCTGTCTGTGATGACCAGTGTAACTAATATATGGCTTACCTGTGTCAATGAACCAATAAGAATTGCATCAATAAAACCTTTAAAAAACCTCAACCAAACAAAAAAGCCAAAACAAGATACCCAACAAACACCTCTATACCATATTCTTTTTATAGGCCTTATTCTTATATTATTTTTACAAGTGTATTTTCTTTTATCTTAATGAAGCATGGCTAAATTTACACTGGAGTAATTCAAAGCAGAGCAGGGACTGCATGCCTGCAGACTGAGCTCTCTGTGTACTTTGGTGGGATTTTGTTCATCTGAGCACAGGTACAAAATGTTTTTATGGCATGGTAGGTATTTCAGTGGAAAAAGAAAGCCATCTGAAACACTTTGGCTGTCAGTCACCTACCTTTGGCTGTTTGTTACACTCTCTTTCCCCCGAGCCAGTCACCAGAGGAGACACTGACTTTTCTTACAATCTCTCCTCCTGAACAAGATATAGTGAAACAGCTATTTAGTACACAGAGAGCAAATCCAGGGGAAACAAACGTTTTCCTCTTCCTATACTATACAGAATTTTTAATGCAAAGCAATCTGAGATACATCTATTTTCCAAAAATAGGAGGGGATTTTTTTCTTTTTGCTTGTTTGTTTGGAGGTTATTTATTTTAATTAAAATAAAAATGAAAGTTGTGTGGTTTGTAACTACATTTCAGAGGTCCTTTGCTGCCCTCATGTGTTTCACGGGCAAAGTAACACTTGAAGTCTACATACAAACCAAAACGGCTCCTCCAATCAGGATTACTTCTGTTTAAAAACAGCATAGTCTACACAAATAATAACCCAAAAATAGCTGAAAGTTTATGCCTTTTTTATAGTAAAGCTAGGTTGGCTTGTTTAAAATTTAATGACTATATATTAAAAACATGAAAAAATATTCAGCTTGAAATAATCATAATCCTGGAACAACAGATTTCAAGGGCAGCAGGCCAATTTAGAGAGTGTTGATCATGTTAGACTGATGGAAAATCCTAAATTTTTTATGAAAACTATGTTTTAAAATAAAGCATAATTTCAACATCTTTCTGTTGCTTACATTAACTGGCAAAGTAAGTTCTTTCCTGTTCCATCCTCCTGCACCACAGAGAATAAAACCATGTGACTGCTGCATTAAGGCTGCTGTTCCTCCCGCATCCAGGACATCCAAAGCTATGGTGACCACAGCAAGCTGTCCTTTGACACTCCTGCCAGACCCTACACCTGCACTTCTCACGAGGGCCTCAGTGCTCAGTCACAGTTTGATGGAATTTGCCTCCGAATTTGGCTGCTGAGGTTCAAACCATCCTCACAAAGGTTTCGACATTCAGTTCTTATGTCATCCTATTCAGTCCCTATGCTGATCCCAGACCTCAATCTGTCAAGACGAATTTGTAATAAATTGGAATAACATCTCCAGCGCCAATCCTGGGTTTACAGTGATGAACCGTGTCAGAATAACCAATAAAATCTGCCCTGCTAACAAGCTCTTCCATACACTGGCTATAAGCCAGAAATAGACTTCCCTGTAACAAAACCGGTGGCAGTTCAGCTAATTCCATGGGAGGAGGGCAGAGACAAAGCTGGATTGTGATCCCACAGGTTTGTTCCCCAAGCACAGCGCTACCAGGTGTGCTACTGGCACCGCAGGACAGGACACCTGTGTTAACAAGAGGGTACGCGGGGGGAAAGCAGCAGAGAGAACTGAAACATACAGCAGGTTTAAAACATACAAATACCTATTTACAGGCACTGCATAAAAATCTCTGGTGATGGAAATTAACTAAGAGGGCGCTATTAACTCGTAGTGGCCTAATGGAGCTATTAAACGCTGAACACTGACCTGCTTACCCAAGTACCAGCATGACCAGTCTCTGAGGAAAGTCATGGTTTCTCTCCGCGAGTTCTTTCAGCACCAGCTCTCTCACTGGGACGCAGGGGCTGCGGGCACCGGGCACCTCTGCACTGCCCGCCCGTGCCTTTCCTTGCTAAAGCCTGTAACCCGCATTGCTGCTGCTTCCCTCTCCTGCTGGCAGCCCAGCTTGCAGGTACCAAGCAGGACCTGACTCAGGTACCAGCCTCTCGGAGAAGGTTTTTATAATCTGGCAGACACCTGAACGCTCAGCATCCCTTCTCCCCTCCCTGGCAGCCCTGCGCGTCTGTCCATCTCCCACATGGGAAACATGGCTGCAAACACGGCTCTGCCCAGGCACTGCTGAGCGCTCTGGGGCACAGCTCGGCCTGGGCGCTGTCCCCGAGAGCCGCCAGGAGAAGGACCCGCAGCAGCGCTCCCAGCCCCGAGCGGCGGTGCGGGAGCGGCGGTGCGGGGCGGGCGCTCCTCCATGCCCCGCCCGCCGGCCCCGCGGGAAGCGGCAGCGGGGACAGCCTCCGGCCGCGGGCTGGAAGGAAGCCGGCTCGGCCCCTTTCCCGCTCGGAAGCCGTCGGACCTCAGCCCCGCGGGTGGGGTGCGTTCCCGGGCCCGCCCCGCCATGGCGCGGCGGCCGATGGCGGTGCTGGCGCTGCTGCTGTGCCTGCTGCGGCCGGGCAGTGCCGCCCTCACGGGCACCCGGCTGCGGGATGGCGGCGGCCGGGAGCGAGGGGGAGCGGCGGCGGCTCTGCGGGTAGGTGTCCCAGCCCGCGCTGCCCTCGCCATCCGCGCTCTGCGGGGCTGATGCGGGCTCTGCGGGGCTGGGGCGGGCTCTGCGGCCGGCTGGGGCAGGCCGGGGCGGGGGCAGGCGGAGCGCCCCTCCCGCAGGCCCGGACGCGCCCCCCGGTGCCGTTCCCGGGGCTCGCCGCCGGCCGCCGGAGCGGCTGTCCAGCCACATCGGGCCGCCGGGGGAGGCGGGGAGGCCTCTAGGTCATTACGCTGTTCTTTGGCTTCGTGAAGTGATGGGGTTAACTCGTATCTGGAGACATTTTTGCATATCTCTCAACCACAAGGTTTGTTGTGCTGTCAAAGAAGGACATCAGATGAGTTTGACGCAACTTGCTCTGTTTTGTCTGTTTCATGTCAATTTTTTGCACCTAACAAATGGTTTTTTGGTATCTGTTGGAGTTGAAGTTAGTGTAATGGCTTTCCTATTGCTAGGGATACAGGATGAATTTGAGATGAACAGTTCTTGTTATCCAATTTCATGTTTACTGTTACTGACCTTTTTTTTTTTTCTGCTCTTACAGTTTTTTCCCTGCTGCCAACTCAATAATGCCCACAATTATTTTTTGTATTCCTTCAGGAAAGTGTCGAAAGAATTAGATTATTGAATTCATTATCAAAAGATAATACAACTGCTGTCTATGGAATAAATCAGTTTTCTCACCTGTTTCCTGAAGAGTTCAAAGGTACATTTTCTGGTTTTCTAGTACCTTTTCTGTCATTTTTTAATTCTTTCCCAGAACCTTGTGTCTTTCACACTTACAGATTCTTCCCGTGCTGATAGTCAGCTAATTTACAATGGCTGGTACCAAACTGTAAGTACTTCTGGAGGACACAACAATCCTCTTTGTGTTCTGTAGTCTTGCAAGGTTGAATTACCCACAGCCTGAATATGTTTTAGTATTCAGGCAGTTCTGGTTTTCTTTCTTTCTTCTCACTGCTCTTTAAAGCTTTCTTCAATTACAACAGAAGAAAGGAAGATAGACAAATTTCTTCCTTTTTGAAAAAGGAAGATACAGAAGGTTCTGCAGTGAGTTCATATTCCCTACCCCAGCACAAAGTTGACCACAGTCCAAACAATGCTTGGAGGTCCATGGCTGCATAATGACAGCTGGACCTTTCTCAAGCAACGTGACATACTTGATTTTCTTTTTTCCTAGAAAGCTCTATAAAAATTTCCCTTCTTGCTGTTCATGTCTGTTGTTACATTTTCTATTCATCAGAGGATTTAACATCTTGCTTTAATTTTAAATAACTAAACAATATTTTTTAGTGAAAACCCAGCAACTTTAAGGTGTTTCAGAATCCTTACTTTATTCTCCTCTTATTTTCCCCTTGTACATGACTAAAACTAAGTATTTTTTAAGTTAGTAAAATGTTTTGGAAATTTTCACGTAAAAATTTTTTTTATGGAGTGGTTATGGTTATTGTTCAACTTCAGACCCACATTCCCTACAGAGAGTATTTCTGTTTTTTCTGAAACTGTAGAAATACATTCATTCTGGAGCATAATGATTGTTTTAAAATACATGAATTTTCTGTGGATTTTAGAATGAGATACAATCTCATGGTTGCAACTGTAGATCAAAGTTACCTCTGAGTTCTAGTAAAGTAGTTGTTAGTGGGATTTTTTTTTGTTGTTGTTGTTCATAGATTTAAATATGTTTATGTTCTGTGTTTAGCTATTTACTTGAGAAGCATGCCTCACAAACTTCCCAGATACATAAAAGTGCCAAAGGGGAAGGAAAAGCCTCTGCCAAAGAAATTTGACTGGAGGGACAAGAAAGTCATTGCAGAAGTGAGAAATCAGCAGACAGTAAGTCCTGGTGTTTTCCCTTCCTGGCTCTCAGCAGTGGGCTGTAGAGCACAGGGAAGGTTTTGCAGGGACCAGCTCTGCCTGAAGGCTCCTTGGAGCGCTGGCACAAGAGTGGCCAGCTGAACAGACACAAAGTCATATAGCATTTTATGTAAAGAGGTGTTGGCTTAAAAGAATGAGGTGTAGGAGTTGTGCATTTAAAAACTGTAAATTTTTTTACTAGATCTTTTTGATCTAGTTAAGTGAATCTCCAAATATTTTGCATCATGTGTGTTTTGTATTTTTCTGAAGGAACCAAGTTCAGTACTTGGTCTCATCCCACCTGGAGAGGTGTAGATCCTTTCCTGTTGTTTTCCTCCCATGACTGAATGCTCTTGGCTGGTCAACACCCACATCCTTACCAGTGAATTCCTCAGAGGATGCATTTATGATAGGAAAGTGACCAGACCCCACACAATTACAGTTTGTCCCAAAGTGGTTATGGTCCCTGTTCAGAAACAATCTGCTCAAACCCCAGTGTCTCCTTCCCATGCTTCATGTAGGACCTCGTGAGGAATAAATTCTGCTTATTTTAAATGTCACAGTTCAAAGAGCCTGGAATTGCAGCATAGGTTGCTATTGTCTAAGATTTTTTTCTATTATGTTTCATTTCACTTCACCATTTCTTAAACTGTAATCTGTTTCTACAAAATTCTAGAAAAACTTACTAATGTGGTCTAAAACTAATTTCACTCTGAGACCACAGGTGCTTATCTCACAGGAAAAGCATCCTCAGACCTATCATCAAGAACAAAAATTCATGAGGAAAGAGTCCTAAAAATAAGACAACCATAATGCATTTTTAGCATTCAGAGAGCAATATAGGGGGAAAAACAGTTCAGCATTTTAAATTCATGATAACGTTTCTTTTTAATTGCCTTAAAAACAGAATTCAAGGATGATGTATTAAACGAAGAGCATTGGAAGACTCTTTTGCCTCTTTTTTTCATACCAGGCTTCAAAACGAAAGCTGACTTTTGCTTTCTCTGCCATTTCCCTTTTGTCTCTCTCAGTGTGGAGGCTGCTGGGCTTTCAGTGTGGTGGGTGGCATAGAGTCTGCCTATGCAATTAAAAGAAACACCCTGGAAGAGCTCAGTGTGCAGCAAGTTATTGACTGCTCGTACAATAACTACGGCTGCAACGGGGGATCCACCGTTAGCGCTTTGAGCTGGCTGAACCAGGTTTGAAACTCTTTGTAAATATCCCAAAAGGCTTCATCAGCTTCTCTATTAGCATTCTTATTTATTGGAAAAAAAAACTGATGGGGAAGGTGAAATGTACGGAGATTTTTTTTTTAATCACATGTGTGTGTAGATATATGCATACACCTATGTGATTGTGTATATGTATCTATGCTTATTTATTTAGTTTGGAACCAGGTGAGAATTAGTTCAAGCAGAATTCAAATTTGATTGAAATTTTATGGTCTATATATATTCTTGTGAATGTAACAAATCAGTCCACAGGGGCTGAAAACAATGTTCCTGAATTCATTTGCAGGCATACAGTACCAGTGTAGACAGAGCCACCTATGCATATGGCATTTTGTGGATTTAAAGCACTAGCATCTGGGGAAAAGAAGGGATCCTGACATTTTCTGCTTTCAAATTTCAGTAGTTTCCCTTGCAAACACTGTAAAATTATGTACAAGTGTATGTGGAAAACCTCAGAATAAAATGAAAGGCATTTACCTTTGTTTCCCTTGAATACCAGAACATTGAAAATGCATTCAAAATTTCTAGCTCAGTTGTTGCTAAAATATTTCATTTCATTAAAAATTCAAAATGTGTGTTAATAACATGGGTACACAGAAACATTTAATATCTTTGAAATAAAAAATACTCTCTCAGACTGAATTACAAAAATATGAAAAGAGTTCTTTCTTTTTTTGAATTAAAAAAACCTCAGAATTTAAGACAGCATAATTCTACCCGTATAGAGTAATATACCCATGGCTAATAACAGTCTAGATAACTTGTATAAGTTTGAATATCAAGAACAACAGAGGATATGCACCTTTTATTCCTCTGAAAGAACATTCCCTCTTGGCTGCGGAGGAACCACAAATGAATTAGGCTGAAGAAGTCACTGTCATAAATATGCTGTACTCCAGAAGACATGAAAAGCATGAAAGGCTGATGCATATGTCATGTATTAGCATGAGAATTACATGCTAAGAACAGAATTGGACTTTACAGTATTTTATATAACTTTTTGGGATAATTTTCCTTCTTTAACTATCCCAAGGAGAATATAATTTTGTATGTGGAAGTCATTTGAGGAGAATTAATGAGATGAATGAACATCTGTGTCTTGAAATTGACAGAATTGCTTATGAGGATAGTTTAAACCAGAGATGCCTTTTAAATTTAGTTTATTATTTAAAGATTTCTGAATCCCTGCTGAAGCTCAGTGAACAAGGAAACTAGAGCTAGTAAATAGTTATTTCACAATGTGACATTCTTACTTCTAATCTTGCCCAGTACACACTGAATTTTGAGTGGGTTATGTGGTCATTCTCCATATGTTTTGAGGTGCATAGAAGAAAAGTCAAATGCATTAATTTCTTGCTCCATTACCTTCTTGCAGACCAAAGTAAAACTCGTGAGAGATTCAGAGTACACTTTCAAAGCTCAGACAGGACTGTGCCATTATTTTGAGCGCTCAGATTTTGGAGTTTCAATAGCAGGATTTGCTGCATATGACTTCAGGTAGCTTTTATTCATTCTTTTCTTTCACTGTCCTTTTCCTTCTGCGAACAGCAGTCATGGAGTGAGGTGGAGTGAACAGTGCATTGACCAGGCAAAGGATATGAGGTTGATTGCATCAGTTCTGTAGCTGTGTGCTGGAGAAGGATTAATGCATAACATCTTTGAGAGTTAAGGCTTGCCACAATGAATCCACTCAACACTGCCATCATTAAGCCTGTTCAAATGAGAAGGCTTGAAATTGGGTCTTTTAAATTGGCTATACACTGGAACATAGTCAGTTACAGTTTTTAACATATGAACATTACACTGCTTTTGTCAGAAACAGTAAATCCTACCAATAGTAAGTGGAATTTATTGAAAAAAATAGGAAGCATTCAACTACTTCAGAATTTATGCATTTACATATCTACCCACATCCTCTCCAGCCCATGACTTTAGAAACAGTGTTGTCAGCTGAACTCTGTAAAAACTTCAGCTTTTTAGGTTTCTGTGTGAAGAAACTTCATTTCTATTTTTTATCAGTGCAGTACAACTACTGAAAAAAGGCAAGAAGTATTATTTTGACTAGGAATTGTGTTACTTCTAGCTATAAGTAACCAAAATCAATCATATCTTTACCAGTCTGTATTTGCCAAATTTATCTAATGAACATATTTTTAGTGATGAAAATTTCCTGCTCCAGATAAATAAAACTGTGTGAGCGTGCTAATGATAAATGTCTGATAGTGGAAATGTCCTGTGTTTTGATATGTTTGAGACACATACTTTAGTGTATTATTCGGTAAAGAGGTACTTCTGTAGGTTTAAAAAGCAATGGGAAATTCTAATACAGACTAATGGTTTGTTCAAAGCTTGTTTTGATTGAGAAGAGTGATGTACAAAAAGTATGAAGTGCTCTCCACTGCCACTGGCTTGGCCTAGAAACCTTGTGCTATTTAATAGTGTTATGTGTTTGGATCTACACCCATCCCATAGTTTTTGTGTCCTGTATTTGCATCACTGTGTTGTAGTATATGAAATATATAATTACTGGTGTGTGATATGTAGAACTTGGAGGAAAGAGTTTAATTAGTTGACTTTTAAACTGTTCTTAACAAGTAGATTACAATCACTCTAATCACTTTAGTGTGATAACTTAAGTAACTTGGTATTTTTACTTACTTCTTTTGCAGTGGTCAAGAGGAGGAAATGATGAGGATGCTTGTCAGCTGGGGCCCTTTGGCAGTGACAGTCGATGCCATTAGCTGGCAGGATTATCTCGGTGGAATCATACAATATCACTGCTCCAGTGGAAGAGCAAACCATGCTGTTCTTATCACTGGTTTTGACAGAACAGGTGTGTTTCCACCAGCTGAACTTCAGCACAGTAGGTTTCTTTGACTTGCAACTTGCCTTTTGTGGGATAAGTGATTAAAATCCAGAACTTGGTTTTCTGTTGGAAGCTCTTGGGTTTGATGTCACATCAGTTCTGGAAGTTCTGTGAAGATCACATCATCTTCACATCAGCCAGAAGAAAAACTCTTTTTGTGATTGCTTCTTCAGTTTGTAGGACTTCATCCTTGTAAAGCCAAGACCATGGCTGTATGTGTCCTTATGCTAGAAGAGCCCATATCCAGTGTTCCCATACCAGAATATTAGCTCTGTTATCTATGTGAACAGCAGTAGGTTTCACTGGCCTGTATCATCCATCCATCAGAAGCTGTGAGATACTGAAATGCTAATTAACTCTGTGGAGTGTTAGGAGGCTAAAACTTCCCAACTCTCATGTTGTCTCTTGTTCATGAAATGTCTCTTCCAGGTAGCATTCCTTACTGGATTGTACAGAACTCTTGGGGCCCAACGTGGGGAATAGATGGCTACGTTCATGTTAAGATCGGTGGCAATGTCTGTGGTAAGTCTGGCAAAAAGTGCTAAAGGCCATGGGCTGGGATATGTTTTCCAATAGCTATAAAAATTAATTATCACCATAATATAATATATATAATAAAAATATAATGGGATCCTCAGAGAGGTAGAACAATCATTGCTATGCTTTAAAAGAGGTTAAATGAGTCCAGATGGAAAAAAAAATGAAGTGGTTGCTAGTTCAACCAAAGCATGTAGTTGAATGATTGAAAAACACCATGTAAAGGCAAAGCTGTATAAGACAAAACAAATAATCAAAGTACTCTTGTCCCTTACCATGCAGAGGTAATGGCACTGTAAAATATCCAGTCATGTGTGATCCTTGTAGGCTGTACTCCCTGTGGGTAAAACAGCTGCTGTCCTTGTCTGGTGGGTGCCAGTATCTCTGGGCTCAGTTTAACAAACAACTATGAAAAACTGATCTACCTGGAAATTGTGTACCCTGCTTGTGGCTTTCCTTGTAGGACAGCGATATATCCTTTCAGTGCTAGTTCAATCTCCTGCCCTATTGTTGTTTGCATGAATTTTTTCTTTGTGTTTGAGGGATTCCTGTAGCATTAAATACCCAGTTTCTGCTAGATATGGAGATAAAGCAAGTCAAGCTCTGGTTTAGCATCAGATTGCTGAGCCAAATTGGTGGGATGGTTCCACTAGATAAGAAGTGTTGTGTATCTGTGGTAATTTTATGTGTTAGAGTAACCCATTGGCTTTCCCTTCCATGTGTTTCACTGCAGCTCTCAGTCATTGCAGGAGGTGTTGGATTACCTAAATCATCTGCACATAAAGAATAGACAATATTCAGTTTGCCTGCACTTAGTAAAGATCAAAGCAATGTATCCAATCATAGCTTTCTCATGTTACTGAATCTTTGTTCTTACTGTTGTTGTATAAACAGTTTGGAAGGAGAAATTTACAAGTAGTGATACAGCAAATCAATTATAGACATGGCAGGGAGAACAGATGTGTTATTTTCAAAAAGCAGGATCTTTCATGTTTTCTGTAGTGTACCACACAAGAGCAATCCAGCAAAGACAGTAGTTCCTCCTTTTCCCACAGAGATGTTGTCTTCTGATTTAGAGGTGCTCTGAAACCACCAGGATATAAAATTTTGAACATAAAAGCAGAGGAAGGAGGAGATTAGGTTTCAATTATACACAGTGCCAGGAGAGGAAGAAATAAAAGGGTTGCAGATGATTCCCTAGATTCCTACTGTCCTGGCTTGGAGGGGAGAGGGCATTATATGAACATGAATTTTGGGAAGTCTCCACTTCTATATTTATTAAAACCAAATTTTATGTCATTTCTAGGTATAGCAGATACAGTCTCAGCAGTATTTGTTTGACATTCCTGTGGGCCTCTACAACTGGTCAAAGACCACAAGTATCATGAGGACAGACACTGTATATGAAGGTGGAATTCAAAAAATCATTTTCAAATATAAGAAATGGCTGTAAGGGCAATTCCTGCAACCCCTGGCTGAAGTTTTTAAAAATGTTTTTATTGTGAATTGGTGTTGAATGCCAAATTTCTCAAGGATTAAGAAGACTGATTTGCAGAGTGCACAAAGAGAAGCTACAAAGATGGACTGAAGCCTCAAATGTAAGCTTTATCCAGGTGTTGAATACTACTCCATACAAAAATCTTAAAAGGAAAGAAATGATGACAGATAAGAAGGAATTTGAATCAAAAAATCAATACTATAAGAGTATATTTGAAATCATTTGAGTATAAGAAGAATCATGAGTAACAGTTTAGAAAGTCAGCAATTACAGAATATATCCAATAGAGTGAGTGTTAAATTTCCCTCATTAATTGAATTCAGACGTGCAACTTGCTGGTAATAAAAAGGTGTTCCAGCTTTGCTGAGCTGTGAAACTGCAGCTGTGGGCAAATGTAACTAGAATTCACAATGAAACATGTAATTCTAAAATGCTCTGAATTTTTCACCTCAAATGCTTTACCTGTATCTTTTAAGAAGGCCTACCATGAAAAGTATTAAAGCAATCCTGTAATTTTTTGCACTCAATTACTGTACCATGTTTTTAGATTAGTTTTTTATATCTTTTATGACAAGTGCAACAAGTATTTATACTTGTATATTGTTAAGTGATGCTGATTTATTCCTTCTAATTGTTAATATTTTAAATGAAAGGAAAACCAAGTATGATGTTTCTTTACTTCAGGTTTTGCTACTTACTGAATTTCCTTGGCTGAAAACTTCAGTTTTAAAAAATGTGAAGTCTTCTGTACTCTTGAGTGTTGTGTAGTCTGGCCTTCCCTGAGTGGCTTACAAACAACGATAGCACTCTTTCATAACTGGAAAACAAAGTCTCTAATGGGCACAGATAGGAGTAATGTAGTCACAGCAATATGAAACACAGATGTGCCTCCGGTGTTCTTGAGGTGCTACTGACAGGTGTAAGTACCTGAAGTACTGTGGTAGAGGGAACTTACCAGAAATTCCAGCCTACAGTGTTTGTGTCTTTCCAAAGGGAGCACTTAAAAAGACAAAAGTCCATTTAATAAGATGGCAGTGATTTATCAATATTCTATAGCCAAAGTTGCCTTTTATTGTATACCAATTTGAATAAAAATCACTTTAAATGCCTGTCATACTCTTGTTTGAACTTTATAGTTTGCTTTAAAAGGAGACTTAACAAAAGATGAGCTTTAATACTGCTTTATTTGGAATGCAAAGTAAGTACTTATATCTGCTATTTTTAACAGTATTTGTGTCTAAGGGATTTACAGTCACACGTAAAGAGATAGCAACATGATTCTTGATGTATTATAAGTTCAGGATGGTTTGGTTTCTGTAGATTCAGGACTTAGTTTTTTGAATCTAGCTTTGGAAACGTTTAACCCAAAATTCCTCTTGAAATTGCACTAGAGCTCAGAAACGAATATTCTTCTGAAGGTGATGAGATTGATTATATCCTTAACTAGTCATAAATTAGTAGCAGCCATTAGGCAAACAAGCAAATACAAAAATATGTACAAATAAGTCATGATCATAACTGCATGTACTTTTCTCCCTTTCTCTAGGTGCAGGCTTTAAAAAGCCAGCCAAGAGTTAAATTTGCCCTGGGTTGAATTGGGGTATCATTTTACTCTTAACACAGGCTATCTCAATACAGATTTATTTTTTCTACAAGCAATTAATTTCTTCCACAGGACAATTGTACTATTCACAAAGCTGTCATACATAAATACATATTTACACACCCACAATCTTGGTGGGAATGGCTGGGAGCACCACTGAAGGTGAAAGTCAGGAGGTTGTTTACAGCAACATCCTAGAAAGGCAGGTTAGTCAGAGTCATCACTGCTGAAGTAGGAGCTGTCACAGTATTCTGCTGTGTAAAGGAATTTATGAATGCTTGGGTTCATCTTTGGTATCCAGTGTCTTGGCACTAGAAATGTTGAAAGATTGAACAAATCCACAAACACCTTGTATCTGTCACTGAAAAAGACAATTGGAACAATACTTCCATCAGCATAGAAGGCCATAATTTCTATATCCTCAGTAATCATTCCTTCTCATGCAAATAACAAGATTCCTTGCACCAACCCTCCAGAATATTGCAGAGCAAGAATCCAGTCCTGACTTCCTAGGGCATAGAAGATTAGGCTTAATAGGGATCTATAGTAACATCTTTCTTCTGAAAATGCAGAGTCCATAGGGTGTGATCTCTAGCAGAATTTATCTAGGAACAATAATGTTGACCTGACATGAAGGTAGAGTGGGAGAGCTTTCTAAGAAGGACCATGGGCATTCAATCCTCAACATCAGTCTAACATCTGCTTTCTGCTCTGCCCTCTGTTCCATTGGTTGTGATAGTAGGTGCTCACAGCACTACATGGTGGTTCACAGCTCTTTGAGAGCAAACCTCAACGAAGATCCTCTTTTAAGGAGGTTGTGCAATTAGAGGTCATGCTAGGGAATAAGGAAACTCTGTCACACAGTAGCTGGGGCTCACTTCCAGCCTGTGTCAAAGGGACTTTTTTGCCTTAGAAGGCTTGGAATTTATATGTCACTGATAAATAAATGTACAACAAGCAAGGGGAGATGTGCTGAAGTCCCAGAAGAGAGTCAGCAGCCCTCTGGCCTCCAGTGAGCCATCTGAATTATGTCTCCCAGCATTAGAGTGTTTGTGAGCTGCATTGTTGCAGGTACAGGGGAAACACGTTATTTGTACCTCACTGTGGAACGCAAGTAGTGGTAGCCTGAGGAGCCTCCAGTGCCAGCCTTGCCACCAATCATTCTGTGCACCAGGCAGACATGGTTATCTAAATGATACAACAGGAGAAAATAGCACATGTTCAGTATGTAAATAAAACTACAGGGTCACATTTATTGAAGGTCATGCAGAGATCTTAACAGGGATACAGAACTCTTAGGTGTTCAGCAATGCAGGAGTTAATGCTGCCATTTTTTTAGTCAATTATATAAAATTGTTGTTAATTCAGAATGAACACACTAATTATTACACATTACTATGCTCTGTGAATACAGAATTACACATTCACTTTTGTATAGGTATGGAAGGAGGCAGAAGGAATGTTTGCATATAAAGACATGACATTGTGAATTTTTGGGATACATTGAAAAATAGATACCTGTCCCTAGATAAGATAGTACACTTAAAGCAGGTCAGAGAAGTGATAGCTATACCTATGTACCTAATGATCACAGAAGCATCTCTTTATCTTTCCTCTTGGCTGAAGTACAAACAAAAAGAGTCATTCCTAATGCGTGAATTCCAAAGCTCATTTCTAAGACTGGGTGTAACTCAGAGACAGAACAATTTATCACAGTGAAAAAAGTCAAACTTACATCTCCATTTAGTCATGAGCACATCGAGATCCATAAGGGAGGTAAGAAGCTGAAATGGAACCTGGAAACGAGGCTCCTCCCTTGGAAAATGAAAGAGAGGACAGTGAGACCTCTCAGCATAAGCTGTATTTTTCAAAGTTGCATTTCACCAGTGTTTAGTGACTTAAAGCATGCTTTTCCTAAATTGGTACTGGAATATCATCAGATATTTTAACAAATGCTTCTGCTATGTAAGTCTTGATCTGCCCCTTTATTTTTGAACTTGGAAAAGGACTCTAGATCTTTTTAGGACAGGTAGAACAAGGCGTTTACTAGTTACAATCTGAGGAGCAGCACCTGGTCAAGCTGCCCAGAGGGGATGTGCAGCCTTCCATCCTTGAAGATATTCAGAACTCATCAGGACATGGCCCCGAGCAGCCTGGTCTGACCTTTGAGCTGCATCTGACTAATCGGGGTTGCAGTGGAGGGCTGAAAGAGATTCCTTCCCACAGCCCATTCCAGCCTAACTAAACCTGTGCTGCTGTTCTTAACCTTCACCTCTCCTCCTGCCAGTCACCATCAAAGACACAACATCACCTGTAGAAGTAGATCATCAAGGCCCCCTTCAGTGCTTTGTAGGACAGTCTCCTCTCTCCTGCAAAATACAAGTGTCCTCAGTTGGCTGCTCATTCTCCTGCAACTTCAATGCTACAACAATCATTTATAAATAACACGTATAAAACATACAAAGTACGTATTCACATGTGGTAATAAAATCTACCTTTACTGAGCAGATGTTCATGGCGTTTTTCATCAAATAATGAAAGTAATATGTCTCTCTGCTTTTGGAATTCAGACAATAAGTCATCTTTTTCTTCTGATTCTGCTTTGGCCTTTGGTATTTAAAACAAAGACAAGCTTTAGAATTCAACAGGGAAAATTAGGCACTTGAATGACTCATTTTGCAATTTTTATTTAAATAAATACTCTGAAGTTTGAATCTTAGATGTAAGAACTGTATTTTCAAATAAGATACATGAGTCACTGTCCTTTGAAAAGTGCAATTACCAAGAAATGTACAATTAAACAGATTCCAACACAACCCAGATAAATGAATATTCAAACAAACTGGCAATTTATTGCACTTCTTGGTCTAGAGGCCTTAAAAAGTTAATCATAATTTGTTTGAAGTCTGATTTTTTTGTTTTCAAGGAAAAAAAGTTACATCTTTGCAGAGCAGGGGCCAAGAAAATTGTAAATAAAAAGTTTAGATAAGTTAGAAAGACATAAACAGATATTCTCAGGAAGTTGATAAATTCTTATTTTTTTTCATTAAAAATGAAAATATTAAAAAACGTTATTTAAAGCTGCAGGTCTTGAAATCATCAGGGATTTTCTGATGCTTATTTGCCATTGCAATTCAAATGATCACATAGCAGCAAATTGCCATATACTGTTAAACAGAAATGGGCTCTTAATAGGGACATTCCATATCCACAGCTCAGGAGCCCAAACTTCATATTCACTTTATATTGTAGATGCAAGTACTAATTAATGGTGAAGTTGTAGTTTCAGTAAAATCAAATTCAGCCCTTCCATTGATACTAATCCATCCCTTTTGCAATCCTGATCATCGATGTATCTCATGCTTTAAATCATCTTAGACATCAAATTAAAAAAATATTCCTATTTCCTGAAGAATTTGCATTTTTTTCTACTTCTTGCAGAAAAAGACTGATGAGGATTAAGTGAAGTGAGTGAGAAACTTTGAATAAGCCAAAAGTTAAATTTATGTCACAATATCATTTTGCCAGATGTCTTTGCCTATTGTTAGTTCAAGAGTAAACTATATACCTGTATCAAGGCAAATTCCTCTTCTAGGCCTTTTAAAACATTCTCTTCAAATTGTCCCCAGAAATCAAATTCTTCTGAGTCAAGTCCCGGAGTTCTTTCCAGCCATGCCTTTAATAATAATAGCAGTAGTGGTAGTAATCATAATATATTCAAACAATAGCAATGCAACTGCATTATCCTAGAACTACAAGTTATAGCAACATAAATTCTACTGCTACAATTCTGGTTTAGCAATAAGCCCTTCTACAGTATCCTGCAGAAGTGCTTAGTGCTAAATTCAGCATGTCCATGTGGATGATTAACACCTGCATGATGGTGCCATACCAGCCCCCTCAGGTTCCAGGTTGCATGAACAATGTTGGCAGACAGAAGCTGTCTCATTCTAAGGATATCTTTAAAGCAAACTACAGAAAAATAAACCTTATTCCACATATATATAAAAGTAATGATAAGTCTCAGAAGGAAGACAGAGCCATCTATAGTTTTTAACCTCTCTAACAGCCATCACTAACAGTGGGACTTTTTTAAAAATTTTTCTCCCAAAAGGGCTTATAGTCACAAAAAGCAATGCAAGTGAAACAGTGCATCTACATTCTTATCTCACACTTCCACAATGCTGTTTACCAGTTTAACAGCCAGAATTTTCAGGTGAAAGCAAGATGCTGTGAAAAACCAGTTGGTTTACTAACAATTAACTCTCTTTAATGCCAAATTTGTCAAGAATCCAAAACACAATTGACAGAGATTTGCCAACGTGCTTGTTTCTCTTAAGGTAGGAGAATTTGTCACTGACACTAATGAAGGACATTCTTGGGAGATGGGGAAAATGAGGCAAGGTCTAAGACGGACACTGTTACCTCCACAAGTTGCAGTAGTGTTGGTTCTTGCTCTGATTGAAGCAGCAGTTCATGATCCTGTCCCTTGAAGTTATCACGGTAATGCCTTCTGTTATAAGGCACTCTCAGGCTTTGGGGAACTCCAATCTTGTTCTCCAGCAAGCGAAACTGCAGGCTCTGAAACCCCGAGGCTGGGCTTAGGTAGTACCTTTGGGAACAGAAGAAAAGATAGAAAAATGCAGGGTGTTATTTTACAATGGTGGGTATTTCTTGTTCTCTAAAAACCCCCCATATT